ATTCAGTTCCTACAGCAAAACTATCTCTTGGTTCAGTGGCAACTGTTAACAACTTGATTGCCTGCACCGTGGAGAGGATTAAGGCTTCTTTATCATGCGAATCTGCATGATCTTTGAAGGTTAATTTAGAGGTATAGTACTGGACTTGTGCTGTTGTGTCCTTCTATTCTCAATATATAACTGACTGATTCTATCTGGATTCATGACCAAGTAATGCAACTTTATATTTTTTGCAGTTCATTAACCAGAGGAGGAAAAAAGAGGGGAAATTTGAGAAAAACACAAAGATGGTGGCCATTTTGGCTTTTATAGAAGAAGATTAATGGGAGAAGTCAAGAGCGCACCTTGCATGCCTCATGGTTTGCGATAAGGGCAAGACTACTTGTTAGCAACCAAAGCATACCATGGGGGATCAGAAAGGACGTTAGAGGTTCGGGAATTGACTTCGCCAAACAAAGTAAAAAGGAAAGACCTTAAAATATTAATCCATGGTTGAACTACTGCTCCTTTTCCCCTTCTTTAACTTATTAGTTAGGGTTTTGTGCCCCGATAGTACTTCAAGTTTTATCTGCTCTCTAGATCTCTTTTTCCCTCCTCTACTTGTTAATTTGTTTGTGTTTTTGAAGCTCACACCTCAAGAGCTTTTGGAATAGACTTCCTTTGTTCTCTCTTTGAATTTGTTATAATTAGTCTCCTTTTGATTTGTCTTTGCTATGTTTAAACTTGGGTTTACTTTCTCAAAATGCTGCAATCTTGAGTGATTGTCAATATCAATCCACATAACATACCAAGAAACAAAATTAAACTATTTCAAAGAAATCATCCTCCTTCTTTATATATATATATATAGACACACACAAACACCCCCAATATGATAATCTTTATAGACACACACACACACTTATAAGCAGTAAATATTTCCCCTAATGACAATGGCATTTTCACTAGCCTTCCTTTTATTTTTAGTTCGAGTTTCCCTCCACCTCTTTCTTTTTTAATAAACGAGAGGGAGTATTATTAAAAAACGGATAGTTAGCCACATCGATTGTGACTAAATAAGATAAAGTACAAAGCATGAAACTAGCGAGAATGGCAGATACAGAGGCTGAAAACCAGACAGCGGCAAACTGTGTTTCTTAGCAAGGTTAGTCCACCTTCTAATACCTCCTCATCCTCTGGTCAAATTATACCCTGTATATGTGAAACTCCCTTGAATGTTGTGAAATTCTATACATTAACAAGTGAAAAAGAGATGGCTAATTCGGCAGCACACACCATTTAACACTAGATTATTCCTTGCTAACCAAATAGTCCACAAGGTTGCATATAAAACTAACTTCCATGCTTTGATTGGAATATTCATGAGCTATAGCTTAGTCAATGACTGTAGAAATCTTCAAGAGATTCCAGAAAAATGGTTGAAACACCCCACCATTGAATTACCCTATACCAAAAATCATGCCCTCCTCCCATATAGGTTCAAGTAATTCTATGTCAGATTTGTTCCTCAAGTCTAAAAAGGTTGGCTATAAAAAGAAGATTCCCTTATAGAGATATTGAACTAACGAGTAATTTTATAGTATCAAAGCTAATCTCACAAGGGATAACTATAGAGATAAGCTTGTTTTCTTTCGTCTTTTTTTTCCCCAAGCCTCATTTAGATATGCATTTCCAATCCTTCATGATCCAAGTATAAAAATATGTGCATCACGTGTCGCATCTTGATGGATATCACGATAGGAATTAAAAATGCATATTGTGAAAAATTAAAATCTTCACTTAGTAATTAATTAGAGAAAATTAAGAATTTTAAAAATTAATACTGATTTTAAATATTCAAATAATTAAAAAATTAGTTATATTTAACGAAAAAATGATACCACCCTTAAAATATCATTTCTCATGAAAAATTATATTTATTATGAGTTTACAAGATTCCCAATCAACCAAGCCAACAAGTTGGAAAATAAAGTGGGATTTTGAAGTCGAGTGGATGATGAATCAATTTAAAACACTAAATTTTAGGGAGATTTTTTCATCAATATAGTGGCTAGTGAATCATTAATGAAAGAGTGAGCAATTACTAGATTTGATATTGAATGAGCTATTCATATGAATAATTAATAACATTGTTGTACCTAATTTTTGATAATTTTTTTAAAAAATAAAAAATAACAAAAAAAACTCAAAAATATGTGTTTGATATCTTTGCATCGTTTGCAATGTCTTTTACAAAAAAATTCAAATAAAAAAAAAAGAAAAATAAAAAATACATTTAATTTAGTTAGTGATCTAATTGTAATTATGGAAGGAAGATGACCAATTTGAAAATTGAAAAACCTCTCACCAAGCAATCCATTTTTTTTAATCAAATAGTATACAATCAATTCTATTAACTCAAGGGTTTATTTTTCTTTGCTTTGTTTCCAAGTTATCAAAGGAATGATTAAGATTCATTTTTGAAATTCAATGGTTGATTTTGATTTGTTTTGCCTTCAAGTCAAAAAAAATTATTTACCTATAAATATATAGTTATATTACCCACAAAATAGAGGAGAAATTTAAAGTGGGGGATGACTAAATAATAATAATAATAATAATAATAATTTTCATATATTATCTCTCCACACATATACTCACATAACATAAAAAACCCTAAACTCATTATACCCTAAGTCAGCCACTACATAGAAAAAAAGAAGAATCAAACCATCCATGTGCCCTTCATCACCCTTATCTCTCCTGCACCAACTCATAGCCACCCAAACCATTTACCCCTTTCATCTTCTCTTTACCATCACTACTACCACCTTTCTAGACCAAGCAAGCCATCATCTTCACCTCCACTATTGGGCATGACCTCCACCACTGATGACTCTCTCCTTTTTGTGACAAACCATTCCCTATCATCAGCTTTCTTTTCTCATCCATTACTGAGCAACCCTTATACACATAAAAAGAAAACCTTGGCCTTTTGACCATCACCATAGCCGCAACCTACCCCTCCAAACTACTAGCCACACAACCTAAAATCAATAGCCCTTTTTGTTTTTTTTTGGTTGAAAAAAAAACCCATCACAAGACTTATAGAATGCCATCCCCCCCTATATTCTGTTTCTTCTTCACCAAATTTTATGCCTTAACCAACAACTAAACCACCCCATATATTCTGTTTCTTCTTCACCAAATTTTATGCCTTAACCAACAACTAAACCACCCCATATATTCTGTTTCTTCTTCACCAAATTTTATGCCTTAACCAACAACTAAACCACCCCATATATTCTGTTTCTTCTTCACCAAATTTTATGCCTTAACCAACAACTAAACCCCCTTATATTATGTTTCTTCTTCACCAAATTTTATGTTTTAACCAACAACTAAACCACCCCAGCTCTAGCTCACAATCCAATAACAATTTCTTTTGTGATCTTCATAGTTTCTCAGCCATCTCTCTCTCTCTCTCTTTATATATATTCTCTCTATATATATATATATATATATATATATATATAAGAAATTGTTTGAGAAAAAAAGATTTAAAAAGAGAAACAAATCAAAATGTTTGTGTTGATTTACTTTTTTGTAGGTAATGATAGCTTTCACCACCAGCACAAAAGAAAAAAAAGGGAATAAACAGTTCTAAATCCACCTGTTTTCCACTTTGTTAGTGATGGCACATGAGTTCACACGCTAACAGTGGTAGTGGTGCGTGAGACCCCTACACCGCCATTGTTTCTCTGCTTCCTAGAAGCTTCCCAATAGTATTCCTAGTACTGTTTCTAAATTTTAGGGGGAATACTTTATAAATTATAAATTTCTTAAATGTATTGTTTGAATTATTTTAAATTTTAATTTGTAATGGTTGTAAATATATAATTGTGGGTGTGTGTGAGTAAAATATAGTAAAAAAAGAATGAGAATTAATGGTTAAATATTGTAGTATAGACGATGGACCTATAAATGAGGTTGACATTTGAATATTAGAAGTTGACTAGAAAATTCTTACAATTATTCTAAATATTTATCAGTTTTAATTGAGAGTATTTTTCACCATAATATTCAAATTATAAAAAATCTTTTTAATAAGAATTTATTTGGGTACACGAGCCCATAATAAATTATTAACACCAAATTCATTTATACGAATAAATCTCAATCTTAAGTCATAGATAGACTATTGGTTAAGAACGCATCAAAATGTTTAAACCACATTTAATACCATACAAAATAATTTACCTTAGGTAGGATGTATTCGAGGTGCTAATATCTTTTCTATCCATAATTAGTTTTTTATCCTTGAATCTCCAATAAAACCAGTACACTCGGATTTCTTAGCAATCCTGAATTAAATAATTAGACAGTGACTTCTTTAAACCTCCCAATACAGCACGTTCACGTACAACAAACATAATGTTGAATCCAAAAAGAAAAAGAATGAAGATAATGTTGTGTACTAAAAGTAGAAGATCAAACACTGGAAGTGTGATTAAAAAAAAATATCCTAGTTTAGGGTCAAGAGTTAGACAATCTTGAAACAAAAGAGAGGTCAAGCAACCAGACTTAAACAATACAAAATTACAACAATCTTTAATATCATATATAAATAAGAATATTAAGCATAATGAATTTTTAAAGAACCATATTAAAAAAAAACATGATAATAAAAAAAATCATAATACTTATATCCAACCTAAAAAGATCCCATTTAGTAGACCCATTATATTTTACATACTATTTGGAAAAAAAATATTTGTAATGATTGTGTTTAGATTTTGCTTTGGGAGTGCTCGTCGTCTTCGTATATTCATAACCAATATCATCTCTCAATTCTTGTCATACTCTCATACTCATGCTCATCAATTAAACAATTCACTTCAAAATCATATATTAATTATCCAATTCCTTTATTAGAAAAGAAGTAAAAATAGATTTGCTTTCTATAGCTAGCTAGCAAGACCAGGAGGAGGAGGAGGAGGTCACAGAGAACTATATATATAAATGAAAGGGGCTTTGCTACGTGCTAAATATAACTTCTAGAAATCAATAATAGGTTCTCCAATGGTGAGATTGCGCTCCAAGGTCCAGGGCAGGTCAAAGAGCTTTGCTGTGATGAATTTGAAAATCTTATTCACATTGATGTTATAGGTCGCACTTGAAAAGAAGAGAGTTGCATTTAGAACCTTGGCATATGCTCTTGCCTGTCATAAATAAGAATTCAAATTACAAATATGTAAAAAAAACAAAAAAGAGGCAAAAGGGTCCATTCATTTTTCCCAGTTAAGTTTTTATGGTCTATCAATTTCTATTAAAATATCGATTGATTGATGTTATTCTATCTATTTATCAATCAAGTCCTTTCATCTTAAAACTAAGAATAAGAAATTAACGCTTTCTTCAATGGTGTAAACTTCATCTTCCTTGAGAAACATAAATAATTTATCAAATAATTCTCTTATGGAATCTGAGGTGATTAATCGTTTTAATATATATATATATATATATAGAATAAACAAGCATTTAAACATGAGCATGCGATCCAGGATTATAACATGAAAAGTTTGAGTAAAATCTTATCAAAACTTTGGAATGTTACCTGGCTTGCAATTGCCCATTGTAGATCTATCGGGAGCTGGATAAAATCATCAAACTTGGTTCCTATTATAACAGGAACTGCGGTCTAAAAACATGCAAGAAAGCAAACAAATCACCACAAGATGATCAGAATCCTGCAGCAACCATGAATATGTCAAACCAAAGAAAGGTAGGTGTGCTCATGCAGATTTACACCTGATTCCATCTCCTTGCTTCTTGGTACCACCTTATAACACTGCAATAATGATGGACTTTTCATAAATAAATTAAACATGCTACTAATCAATCCTTACTATCCAAATTAAGAGGGGGGAAGGTGAATAATAGACAATCAAGAATTTAACTAAACAAACCTGTTTAAAGTGACCCGACTAGTTAGATCAAACATGATCAAAATAGCCACAGATCCCTTGCAAGCCACCGGAATTTGCTGCTCCAATCCTTCATCACCTACACCGTAAATAACTTTTTTTTTGTACCATTAATTGTAGATCTTATCACAAAATGCTGGGGAAGTTAACTTACCGTCTAGTTCCCAGAGACTATAAGAAATACGTGCATCCTTAACCATCAATGTTTTTTTCATCAATTTCAAACCGTTGTTATGCTTCACTCCCTCATCTTTCTCATTTCCCACATACTTTGCCTTCAAAATATTTGAGGACAGAATAATTATTATAGCCAGCCATCGTATGGCTAAAAAATTCATGTACGTAAATATTCTATAGAAAAATCTACAAAAAAAAAATAAATATACTGACCAGAAAACTTGTCTTTCCAATCTGACAATCGCCTAAGAGGCTAATCTTTAAAGCTACCAAGTCTGAATCGTTATCGTGGTGGTTATGACATATCGGTAGTGGTGTTGCGCTTGTCATTGTCTCGTCGGTAGCTGGAGACCGGTGTGACAACACGCGGCGATAGCGGACAGGCTTCCCTAATGAACAAATGAGAACTTGATCCCATATACGGAGAATGCATCGTCTAATGATTGAAATGTGGCGTTGAATCTTTCGTCTGGGATTGAATCGAAACATAATTTGGCAAAATTGATTCATATTGGTTTTTGTTTGAGCAAGAGGGATGGCCTTGAGAAGTACTGCATGTGCATATCCCTTCGGCCATGAAAGAAATTGTTAGCTATAGCTTGTAGTATATTACCCATTTTTTCAAAGATCACGGATATTTTTGGAACATGCTAATTAAATTTTCAGTGACAACTGAAAACACCAAACCTTATTCTATTTTATTTTTTGAACAATTTTGTTAATCAATCATGTTTCTACTTTAACGGGACAAGACAAGGTCATAAGGTCCATATTGCCAGCTGCTGTGTGTTCTTGCGTTTCACATGAAATGAAATGAAAGGTGTAATTTTATTTATTATTGGGTTGTTGCTAGTCTCCGTTTAATTTTCTCCTACAATTTCTGGTAGCCACAGCCTTTCCGTACGTCTAGCCAGCAAGTCCCTCACATTTTTCTACGTGTACTGGTCGGCCTTAGCTCTCGTGTGGTGCAAGTGGTGCAACCCTTGCCATCACTAGATCGTAGCTATGAAATTATTGTACGAAAGAACTATTGCAGTAGCATCGGTTGCAGAACGGAGTAAAGAAACATAAGGCATAGAAATCCTCTTGGAGAAACAATTGATTGCTGAGAGCACAGCAGATGAGGAAGAAATTTGTTGATGAAGTCCCAGTTGAAAGAGTTCGCTAGTTGGAGATCGAAAGTCCCAGCTCATCAATGGCCAGGGTTATTTAGCAGCCACGGTCTGCTCTTCTTCGAACAACAATATGTGGATCTATTTCAGCAAGTAAGATCGATATTGGTATCCAATTTTAGCACAGCATTATCCACAACTCGTTTTCAGAAATTGTAGGAGAATATATTCTGTTGAAGATAATCCTTCGCGTGGATCCGTAGCAGAATTCGTATTCTGTTTGCTGACTTGCTAATTATAGATCGTTACTCTCAGACTTGTAACTAGCATTCTCAACCTAAGAAAGTAGCTCTTGAATCAACTGGGTTCATCAAAATGATTCCAATTTGAACTCGGAGTTCCATTTTCTGGAACATCTTTAAAAGGAAAGGATCAATTTAAGAATGAAGGATGTTAAAGCTGAGAAGTTCAATTCCTTGGGTGTGTATGTGTTATATATATATATATATATATTTATGCATGTATGTATGTATATTTGTATAGAATACATAACATCCTTCAGTGTTACAAAACAATCTATCTCTAACCAGTTCTAGCTACCTAACATTTTTATATCCGGAAAGGATGGGAAAAATCAGTATTTCCGACACTGTTGATTTTATTGTTTTGCAATAGGAGTGCTAAGAAACTTCATCAGGTTTTTTTTTTGTTTTTTTTTCTCTAAGCTGGTGAATTGGCATGCACATCTGAGCTCGGGCTAGCTTGTCGCTTGATATCACTACTCTTCCGTTTAAGCATCTCCTTAATCTCTGCCTCTTTCCTGTCTACAAAATCAATCAAATCCTTGAAGCTAGTTGAGTGTAAGGAGCGTCTAGGCCTTGCTGGCTGAATCTCATCAACCTCTGCCTCCTCACCACCTTCTGGAGTAAATCTACGGAACTGGAAAATGACCTTACAGCAGAATGTGGTAAGAGCAATGAAGCATGAAATGCCGCAAATAAGAAACAGACCCCAGAAACTCGTCAGGGAGAGACGACTGTCGTTGATTTCGTTGATTTGCTCCATGCAATCTCCATGTGTCAGCCATTTGTTGTGGATTTTTTGGAGATCACCATTTTCTGATAGTTGAAGAATGGCAGTTGACAAGTCAACAGCTAGAGGAGAGTCCCTTTGAAACGCCTGCAACAAGAAAGTTTTATTGTAAGAAAATTACTGGAGTTCCCCCACGGGCATTTCATAACGTATGCTGGACTTTACTACAAGCATTTCAAATTCCTTTTGAAAACAAACCACCAGTCCTCTGGTCCTAGTCTTTCCATAACGAAGGAGTTTCTGTGCTAACTTGCAAATAACTAGTTCAAAATACTGTTAAATATCATGATTCAAGTAAATATTATTAGTTAGCTAGTATACCAAGTTTGCACCATCTTATATGCTACTTTCATGTCAATATTCATTTTAGAAATCAAGCTAATCCAAACTGCAAGATTTTCTGCAGTAATGATTTTTTCATTCTTAGACTGACAAATAATGTAGATAGTACTTACAAATCCCCATCCACTTTTTGTGAACTCTTGGCCCACGGTCCTAAATTTACAATTGGTGGAAGACAGGAAGAGCTCAATATAAGGAAGCTCATCAACAATTGCAGCCACGCCACCATTTTTTGGTCCAAGTTGAAGGGCAGTACTGTATTCCTGCTGGCTTTTCAATATTACGAGTCTAGATCCTGCTATGTTGAGCTCGTCCATCAGGTAGTTCCTTGCAAATGACCCATCTTGAATTCCAATCGGTTCATTACTTGACACCAAGCTGTCAATCCCTTCGATCCGTGATGTTAACTGCTGCACTGTGAGGATTGATGTCAAACTAGCTGTGTAGCTTGAATTGATAATCAACACCACAAATAGCCATATGATCAGCACAAAACGTCCCAAGGTGCTCACTGTGTTCTCTCCTACACCACATCCAAGCAACTAAGATTATTAGGTGTTTCCCTAGAAAGCTTATGTGAAGGAACAAGTAAAGAAAGAATAGATGAATAGGCATAGCTCACATACTGTGTGAAAAAAACATTGTTGAGAAACTGAACCTGCAAGATCAGTGCAAATGTCAGTTAGAAGCATTCCAATATTTGTGAAGCAAAGCGCATAATAGCAATGTACCTCCTCGGCAGGAGAACGCTTAAAATAAAGGCTTTGAAACAGCTGACTACATCTTGCCTACTACTGGCTAAATATATTTGCTTTGCCTTAATTACTAAAACGTTCCACATTCTATCATGATCTGTTAGATTGCATTCTTTGAAATAATATGTACCAACATCCTGATCTCTCAGCTACATCAATGCTATATGCATACTACAAAAGTGATTTTCATTGCATGTACTTCTATTTCTGTATTATTTCCCCTTTATCGCCAAGATATTTCAAGGCATCTATGCAACAGCAAGAGATATTTGCCTCATTGAGCTGAAATTGTCAACCAGAAGTAAATGCAAGTTTAATAAATTCAGGGGCCTACAAATGATTTCAAAGCATGCTAACCATAATATTGTCATAATTTGCTGACTAGGAGGACCCCTGAATTCATGATTCATTCGGTGCTCAAGAATCCAGACTACAGCTCCCACGAAAAGAAAGAAGGCACCTGTGACGAGCCACATTTGGATGGTAAATGGCTTGAGGAACGCCCAAGGGTTAGACTTTTGTTCCTTGACTGGAGCAACTACAACCAGCCCTGATTCCATAAAAGGCTGCGTAAAATCTACAATCTTTGTCCTATTTGTGACTATAGTAACATCTCCAACAGCTGCATCATAACGCTGAAGAGGAAGAGATCAAACAGAAAAACTACTAGAATTTAATCATCAAAGAAGGTATAGCTCCAAAATAATGAAGAAACCAAATTACAAATTATTGCCAGATACTCACATCTTGAGCAACCGCTTGGACAATCTCATTGTAGACTGGATTTCGCTTGCCATCTCCATGTAGCATATATGTGCGTGGGACAGGATATGGCAGCAAGTTTATTGCAGCTTCGAAGACATCAATGCAGTATCCCCTAACCCCAGGGGGGTTTTTGTCTTTAGCGACAAATTGTTGATAACTTATGCGATTAGGAACAGCAATTCGCAGTGGCTTACCGTTTTCGGGGAATACCCATCCTCGAGGTACAAGCGAAGTTTCACCAGGCCATATTACACTGGAAAGATGTTGATTACTGGAAGAATTATTCCGAGGCTTTGTATACAAGACCACTGGAGAAATTGTTGAAAGACCAGAGTAATTTGACCAATAACCAATCCTTCTAGACCCTGTCCCACCAATGTTAAGAACATCATATGCTGGACGAACCAAGTTCTTATCCAAATCAAATTGAATTTGACCACTTGGACCACTGAAGTTCATCCTGAGAAGTGTCTGGAGAAACTGTTGGCCTCCATCAAAAACACGCAGTGATGCCAAGTTCATTGCGCTTCTTTTTGTGTCGCTCAACTTTGGATCAGTAGAGTGTGATAGATTTCCACCTTCATTGAGAAAAACATCAAGAGCTCGGGCAGCTAACCATACTGTATCATAAGCATAAAGTGCATAAGAGTTGAACCCAGAAGCACCGATGCTCTTCTTGTGGTTTAGGTTGCTCCATCTAGACATAAAACTTCTTTTGAGATCAGTTTCTGGATTGTGATGGCGAAGAGAAACAACCCCTTGTAAGAGATTCATTGTGTCAGTGTCATCTGGTTCTAATGAATCTAAAACCGAAGGGAGCCAATCTGTAGCAATCCAAACATAGCCTTTGGTCATCATATGAAGACTTTTAGCTACAGAAAATATCGATAAACCGGAATCTGGATTTACATGTACAACATATACCCGAGATTCCATCTGGTTAACTTCAAGCAACAAGTCGGAGACCTGACTTCTGGGCTCTCCAGGGGTCAAGGCAGCCTTGTAAGTGATCTTGGCACGCTTTTTTGCCAGGGCATCACCCAATATAGATATCCCATTCCTGCCACAATCATCATCCACAAAAATGGCTATTACCTCTCGCCAACCATAATACGTAACCAGATCAGCAATTGCATACATCTGGAAATAGTCATTCTGTGTAGTGCGGAGGAAATATGGGTACTGTAATGCTGAAAGGGTAGGATCTGTTGCTGCAAATGATAAAAGTGGAACTTGAAGTTCGCTGACAACATGAGATATTATATGAGCTATTCCAGAAGATTGGGGGCCAATCACAGCAACAACACTGTTTTCCATCAGCTGCAAAGCTGCATCATGGGCAAGGAAACTTTCATCAAAATTCTCATCATTATGTCCTTGAGTCTCTTATGTACAT